AAGAGTCTCTGGGAAAACACACACACACACACACACACACACACACACACACACACACACACACACACACACACACACAGCAGTAATGATTTCTTCTGGTCTGTTATTGCACTGTAAGGTCTTGTGCTGTTTGTGTAACACTCAGTAAGAACATCAGTAATTACAGCAACAGTCTCTGTGCTGCTGACCGGAACGTTTCTTTTCTGCACGTGGCTGATTTGTAAGTTTACAAATGGTTTGTGTTTGTTGGTGGTGAGTTTACCTTCCACAGATGCAGGTGTATGAGGTGTGTCGCATCCCTCCACGAGCATAACAGTAATGCTGGAACAGACTGAAACACACAAGTATCAGTCAATCTCAGTCAGACTTTACTCAAAATCAAAACAAATCATAAGAAATTGAATTTTGCATAAAAGAAAATTATGCAACTATTAAAATTGTTTGCATTGCAAGACCAATTTTAATTTTCAATTAGAAAATTTCAAAGAAACGTACAAAAACTGACATCCAGATATCAGCCCAGAGCAGCAGCGCTTTCATTTTTCCACACTGACCTGCACTACAATTACAAAATGCAACATGAAAAGCCTGAAAGAGCCTGTCAGTCGATATAGATTGAAAAAAGTGGCAGCCTCAGAAAACCTTGAGTGATAACTTCATAACTCCAGATAAACAAAACACAGATAGACACTGATGTCAAGCAAAGAGACGAGAGATTTTCATCTGCTGTGCGATAAAACCCACAGACACACAGTGAAGGAGAGATCCAAAACATACAGATGCCGGGAGATCACACAAACATGATCAGCAAACAACACAGCAACACACTAACAACCAGTCAAATGCCCTAACACGCTAACCACCACTCGGACACCCTAGCAACACATTAACAACTAGTCAAATGCCCTAACAACACACTAACCACCACTCAAACACCCTAGCAACACACTAACAACCACTCAAACGCCCTAGTAACAAACTAAGAACCAGTCAAGCACCCTAGCAACACACTAACAACCACTCAGACACCCTAGCAACACACTAACAACCAGACAAGCACCCAAGTAACACACTAACAACCACTCAGACACCCTAGTAACACACTAACAACCAGTCAAATGCCCTAACAACACGCTAACCACCACTCAGACGCCCTAACAACACGCTAACCACTACTCAAACACCATGAAAACCATTTAAACAACCTAGCAACAACTAATAACCAGTCAAACACCCTAACAACACACTAACCACCACTCGAACACCATGAAAACCACTCAAACAACCTAGCAACAACTAATAACCAGTCAAACACCCTAACAACACACTAACAACCACTCAGACACCCTAACAACATTCTAACAACCACGACACCCTAGTAACACACTAACAAAAGGCAAACACCCTAGCAACACACTAACAGCCACTCGGACACACTAAAACACTAACAACCCACTCAAACACCCTAGTAACATGCTAACAACCACTCAAACACCGTAACAACACACTAACAACCACTCAAATGCCCTAGCAACACACTAACAGCCACTCAAAAACCCTAGCAACACACTAACAACCACTCAAACGCCCTAGTAACACACTAACAACCAGTCAAACACCCTAAAACACACTAAAAACCAGTCAAGCACCCTAGCAACACATTAACAACCACTCAGACACCCTAGCAACACACTAACAACCACTCAAACGCCCTAGTAACACACTAACAACCAGTCAAACACCCTAAAACACACTAAAAACCAGTCAAGCACCCTAGCAACACATTAACAACCACTCAGACACCCTAGCAACACACTAACAACCGGCAAACACCCTTGTAACATTAACAACCACTCAGACACCCTAGCAACACACTAACAACCACTCAGACACCCCAGCAACAGCCACTCAAACGCCTAAACAACACACTAACAACCACTCAAACACCCTATCAACCCAGTAACAAGTACAACCACTCAAACACCCTAACAACACAGTAACAACCACTCAAACACCCTAACAACACAGTAACAACCACTGAAATACCATAGCAACACACTAATAACCACTCAAACACCCTAGCAACACACGAACAACCACTCAGAAACACTAACAATCACAAACAACTACAAACAACACCTCAGCATCATGGCAGCAAGTTCCCTTCTCAAAATAAGTATATATATATATATATTTTAAAACTACATATAAGAGAGGGAGATGACAGAAGCATCAAACATCCTTCACCCCAATTTGAGCAAAGAGGATGTGCAATGGGTTTCTGAAATTGCTGCAGTCCATTATTCTGATTGTGTGTGTGTGTGTGAGGTTCGTCGCAGCTTTAATTAAAGCATCACCCGTTGCCATCAGGATGTCAGTGAGTGGGACTGATGCTGCCGCCACATAAAACAAACCATCATGACACATCAGACCATCAGAGGACAGGCTCTGAATCACAGCGACGCTCTCGTCCTCTAATGGAGTGACTCTTGACTCGCCTCTGTTTGGGGGTTTCTCCTGTGATCAGCACAGATATGCTTTCAAAAGAAACAAGCCCAAAAACATTTTTTAAATTAAATAAATAAATAAAAACACAGCAAATTGTCAAGTCTGTGTTCTGGGTGATTCACTCACGTTTGAGATGCGACAGATGTTTTAATATAAAGCACCAATGCAGTTCAAATAAAGAGATTTTCATTTCACTTTAAACTAATTTCTAGTCAGTAAACAATTAAAAACGGAACATGCCAATTATAAAACACTAAAACAAAAAGTTAATATTGGTTCAGAAACTGATCAAAAACAACTACAAAGGAAGAGCTTTAATTTGCTCTGATTTTATCCAACCCTCTCAAAGGGTTAAACAACATTTCACACACTACTGCAATTCTGAAAGGGTGTTATTATTTTTGCATATTTACACAGTAAATAACACTGATTGGACATATGTGACCCTGGACCACAAAACCAGTCATAAGGGTCAATTTTTCAAAATTGAGATTTATACATCATCTGAAAGCTTTCCATTGATGTATGGTTTGTTAGGATAGGACAATATTTGAAAATCTGGAATCTGAGGGTGCAAAAAAACCTAAATATTGATAAAATTGCCTTTAAAGTTGTCCAAATGAAGTTCTTAGCAATGCATATTACTAATCAAAAATTACATTTTAATATATTTACAGTAGGAAATGTACAAAATATCTTCATGGAACATAATCTTTACTTAATATCCTAATGATTTTTGGCATAAAAGAAAAATCTATAATTTCGACCCATACAATGTATGCTATTGCTACAAATATACCCCAGCGACTTAACACTGCTTTTGTGCTCCAGGGTCACAAATATAATAACTACTGTTTTAACAGTTGCCCATCTAAAACTGACTTTTCGTATTAAAATTGTAAAATAAAAAAAAAGTCTCTTCATGACTTCAATTAACTAATTCCCCTCAGACGCTTGAAACTAAACAGCATGTGATTATTTATGCAACTGCTCAAAGCTCATTAATATTCAACGATATGGCGTTACATTCTAGCATTACACTGTATCACAGGAAGTGAGCTTCATCACTCTGGGTTACATTGTTACTAACAACCTTCTTCAAATTTAGACCGTGTGAAACGTTGCTTAACCCCAAATTAAATGTGGCTTTAAACTAGGTTATAAAAGAGATAGAGAAATTATGAACCAACAGCATGAATACTGCACATGAAGCCATTTCTTGTTGTTCTCTTGAGAAAAAGCAAACAATAATTGATGGAGCTATAATTAATTTCAGCTCTCGCCAAACAGAAATCACTCAGATGCAGAATGAAAGTTCACAGCAGCCGTCGGAACATGAAAGGTCATGTGACGTTTAATTGGCTGATTTCAGAAGATTCTTTCTGACGGTCATGAAAATAATGCTTGGTTTCTTTCCCATTATGAGGAAATTATGTCAGCGATCAGGGAAACACTTCCTTCAGGGTTTGATCACTGTGTCTGTTTATTATAGATTGTATTATTCAGTTATGCTAGATTAAATCATGCTGACAGGAGATTTGATATTGAAATTAATTTTAATGGAGGACTAATTATAACCTGCATCCAGGAAATGTTTTTTTAAAGAAGAAAATTAATACTTTTAATCAGCAAGGATGCATTAAACTGATCAAAAGTGACAGTAAAGACATTTATAATGTTATAAAAGATTTCTATTGTAAAAAATAAAAAAAATCTGTTCTTTTGAATTTTCTACTTATCAAAGAATCCTGAAAAATAGAATGCATCACAAAAATATAAACTTCAACACTGATAATAATCAGAAATGTTTCTTGAGCAGCAAATCAGCATATTAGAATGATTTCTGAAGATCATGTGACACTGAAGACTGGAGGAATGATGCTGAAAATACAGCTGCGCATCACAGGAATAAATTACATTTGAACATATATTCCAATAGAAAAGTTATTTTGAATCACAATAATATTTCACAGTTTTTACTGTATTTTTGATCAAACAGATGCAGCCTTGGTGAGCAGAAGAGACTTCTTTCAAAAACATTTAAAAAAAAACCTTACTGACCCCTAAACAGTAGTTTATATATAGCATAAATGTGAGAAAGGGTTGAATAGGTCAAAACAACATCAGCCATGTCTAAACTATCTAAACGCAGCTCTGACAAACATCTCAACGACCTTCTAAACTACTTCCAGCCGTTTCACCTGCAGAACGTCAGCAAAAACACAAACAAATGTCAAACTTTTCTCTGGTTTAACATTTCTTTTCTCCTTTTATGGCCATAAATGATAAAACGGCATCAGTATGAGCGCCCGTGGACTATTACAAATGCTTCTTAGAAAAGCCACAACATGTATTGTAGATAATTAGCTTCAGAGGGCATTTTCACATCAGCTAGCAACACGCAGTAAAACAGGCTGTGATTGTGCACTGATCACAAACTGCAATGTGTTAATATGGGCCCTGAAATCGTCTTAAAATGAGCATTAAGTGCTGAAAACTCCTCTCAAACGACAAACAACACCAATTAACAAACCGACGCACAATGTATATATTCTGAACCAAAAAAAACAAACCAGCAACCAAGTAGATCACACTTAAAAATAACTACAAATAGTAACAGTAGGAGCCGCACATTTGTCCTGCTCGTAAGGCTGTGTTGATATTATACCTTACGCAGCACTTCATGTGGAAACAGTGGCTCAGAATAGCTCACACACACCCAGAGGACAGAAAAAGCCCAGTTAAGAGTCTGAGTGGGCTGATTTTGCCTGAAAACTGAGATGCTTTTTCTTTGAAATGCTTCCATTCCTCCGGCATCCCAGA